CCGGTGCGACCTAGAAAAAAATTTAGTCTAACCCTTACAAATTTTGGTCACGTGTGACCAAATTGGTCGCACTCTAGAGCCCTGAATCTTGTTTGATTCTTAAGTTCTTGATAATTTGTAGGATTTATTCCAAATTGTAATTCCATACACATTTTGGGTGTATTTTGTTGCTCATTTAAGTGGATAATTGGACATGTAGAGTAAGGCTGTGTATTGGCAACAAAGTCATAATGCATTCTGATACAGAGGCCGCGATACAGAGGCCACAATACATCACTATACTGGTCTGCACCTAATTTCACCTCAGCAGAATTTAATATAGCAACTGTTTATTAAACACTGCATACTATAGGGCCATTGCTAAGTATAGGCAGAGCAGGCAGTTGCCCTCTTTATTGTGAAGGGCCTCTGTACTGTAGCAATGTATAACAATATAGGTAGAGATGTTCCGATACCCTTTTTCCCTTCCCGATTCCGATACCTGGACTCAGGGTATCGGCCGATACCAAGTACTGATCCGATACCTGGACTCAGGGTATCGGCCGACACCAAGTACTGATCCGATACCTGGACTCAGGGTATCGGCCGACACCAAGTACTGATCCGATACCTGGACTCAGGGTATCGGCCGATACCGAGTACTGATCCGATACCTGAGTGTGTATCTATAGGCTACAGCTGCAATACATACTAGCCCTGTATGAAGTGATAGAATTATTTTATTGTGTGCTTCAGACTTATCCCTTAATAAAACATGAACAAATACATACAGTGAACTATTTGAGTATTTTTATTATCTGACATTTCACAGCAATGTATTTATTTTTCTTAAGTGAAAAAGAACTTATAATGCAGCCACACATCTAATACTTTAAACTGAAAAAGGTATTTTAGATTTACAATATAACTGTATAAAGAAGTGCAACAAATAAATCTAGGAATCTAAAAAATGATATATGAATAATAAAAGAAAATAACCTCTTTATAACTTAAAGTCCAGAAACAATTTTGTTAAATACACGGCATTTCAGTTTTGACAGCGGCTGGTCATCCAGAACAATAAACTCAATAATTTTGTCGGTTATATTTATCGCTCGTTGGCTGTCTTTTGAAACCTTTCTCTTCGTTTGAATGAAGCTTCCAGAGATTGTTGATTCTGGCGCGGCTCATCCTCCGTCTGCCCTTGCCATCGTGTTCTGCGGGGTGACGCGTCTTAAATCGCTTTATTAAGTGTTGAAGCTGCTAATCTTGTGCCACCCCTCGAAATTGCAGTATGGCATATGAGACATGTCGCCGTTTTACTGGCTGGTTGGTCCAGTCTTAAATACTGCCAAACAGTGGACATACTGCTAGCGCGCGCTTTCTTCTTCGCTGCTCTAAACAGTGGTTGCTTGTGGCAACAGCACAACTTCCTGTGTTGCCACAAGCAACCGCTGTTTAGAGCAGCGAAGAAGAATTGATCTCCGATTTGCAGCGTTAAGCAAAGCTAGCATGCATAACTAGTTATTGTTTAAGAAAAGGGTATCGGATCGGTACATGGGTAGAAGTACTCGCCGATACCGATGCCAGAATTTTTATTGGTATCGGCGGCATTTCCAATACTAGTATCGGAATCGGAACAACTCTAAATATAGGCCTTAGGTAGTGGTGTAGGTTTCATGTTAACATTGGGCACTCCCCACCAGGTACAATATTCTGATTTTTTTCCTCTTGTTTTTTAAGCACATAAATCATAATGTACTCATTCTAATAGATTAATAAAAAACATTTATGTTACTGGTAGGTTATTGCACAAATTGACACTACAGGGGGGGGGGTTGACTAGCTTTGGTTGAAAGCTAGGGTTGACTAGCTTTCGTGAGGCACACTCCCAAAGTCTCTCGCTCTCTCCCTCTCTGCCGTGTGTGCGCTATGTATGTTATGCGCGCAGTATGTTCTGTCTCGTATGCGCGCTCTAGATTCCGGGAGATTTGAACTAATTTGCGGGCATCAGGGAGACGCTATCAATATGCGGGAGACTCCCGGAACTTCCGGGAGACTTGGGATGTCTGCTAATGCATTTTCTTCACTGTAGCGCACGCACACATTCAGACAGCTACAAGAGCTACATTATCTTTCTTAGCAAGGAGTTGGCAACATCACTGTTTTTGAAGCAATTAAACTCACTGCTTATTGTTAATAGAGAAACGCGACACAGACTGAGGTAATTCATACATGTACAATCTTTCTCAGGCCTGTAAATGAACACAGACTTGATGCATTACACTATTCTGTGAATAGAATCTCGAACTGGAGAGCAGAAAGCCAGTGCTTTTATCCACAGTGGAGACAGAGTGCCTGCACATGGTTGCCAGGTTGAGAAAAATAAGTAAAACACTTAGCAGATATTTCCTTATACCGCAAGTGTGAAGCTCTGATTGGGAGATTAAGTTTTTTGATATCAGGTACTAGCCTATATGTTGTTCTAGCCTATATATTCTATTCATTAATTTCAGTACATTTCCAATTGATATCTGATCCTGGTATTGACAAGTAGTATGTATCGATGTATTGAACGCAGCCCTAGTGTAGAGTAGGCGTTTTGTACCAACTAGTGTACATTTTCATTTGCGCATGTATAGGCATACATTTTTCCACTGAAACCTGCAAAATCTCACCATGCAATGGTGTGGTGGATATGTAATGTCGACATGACGACGGGTCACAATGCCAGTCTGAATTAGCGTACTCCTGTTACTAGTAGATCATTAGTCACAAAAAAACAAATACTAGACTTTTATAAATGTTGCATATTTGGCCATGCTACTCATTGGTTGAGAAGTATAGACGCATTTGACCCTGCGTTCTCTCTGGAGAGGTGATGCCACATGCTGCAGGTGCACCCATATTTAGTAATATATTTATTGTTTATTGGAACACTACAGGTCAAACGTTGACATTAATGATGGCAAAACTATTACTTTATTTCTGACCATTTATTTGTTCTTTACTGTAATTTTAAAGTTAAAGGGTTAGTTCACCCAAAAATGAAAATTCTGTCAGTAATTACTCACCCTCATGTTGTTCCAACCCCGTAAGACTTTCGTTCATCTACGGAACACAAATTAAGATATTTTTTATTAAATCTGAGAGCTGGATCACTCCTCCATAGGCTTCTTAAGGGATCGAAGCTGGCCGGCCCAAAAGTTATGAAAGACATCGTTAAAATAGTCCGAGTGACTACAGTGGCTCAATCTTAAGTTTATCAGTTTATTAGTACGAGAATACTATTTGTGCGCAAAAAACAAACAAAAATAACAACTTTATTCAACTAATCATTTCCTTCTCTGTGGGCCGTGATATTTCACGTAGTGAAACTACGCAAAGCTTCTAGGTTGTACGTCACGCATCACACACATGACCAGCGTCAGCCAATAGTGAGCCTGCGTGTGACGTGCAACCTAGAAGCTTTGCGCAATATCACTACGTGAAATATCACAGCCGTACAGAGAAGGAAATGATTAGTTGAATAAAGTTGTTATTTTTGTTTGTTTTTTGCGCACAAATAGTATTCTCGTCGCTTGATAAACTTAAGGTTGAGCCACTGTAGTCACTTGGACTATTTTAACGATGTCTTTCATAACTTTTGGGCCGGCCAGCTTCGATCCCTTAAGAAGCCTATGGAGGAGTGATCCAGCTCTCAGATTTAATCAAAAATATCTTAATTTGTGTTCCGAAGATAAACGAAAGTCTTATGGGGTTGGAACAACATGAGGGTGAGTAATTACTGACAGAATTTTCATTTTTGGGTGAACTAACCCTTTAAGACAAAAAAATTTGCAAAACCGTTTTCAAAATGGTAATCAATCATTCTAGACCAGCTTTGTGAGGTTTGTCTTGTGCTGGCCATTCCATGGTTTGAAGTCTTCATAATTCAGTATCTTTCTTAGTTATAGTTTTGGGCTGTATTGGAGAGCACAGTAGAGGAGAGACTGGAAGTGATAGGAGAAAGGGGTGTGGGATCAGGAAAGTTGGGTTGCCCAAAGCGCTGTTGAACAATATGTTGGAGTACTGCCCACAAGTCAGTGGTTCCAAAGCCTACACTCTTGTTCTTTTTCTTATAAGGTAAATATGACATGAGATGTTTTAAGTCATTGTCTTGCTGTAGGACCAACTTGGTATACCAGTAGAACCAACTTGGTATACCAGTAGAACCCACAGACTATCACCACCTTCTCCGTGTTTGGCTCACAATAGGTGAACCAGCCTTCCTCCTTCTCGACATTCTCGACATCTTCCATTGCTTCATGGCCATTTTAGGCTTTCTTGATACTACCACTTGAACTGTCATGCATGTAACTGGAAGCTCTTTCTTTACAGTTTATAGCATTTGATAGCAATTGCAGACAGGTGTGTTGGAGCAGAGGTGGTAGGAAGGAAGATCTCCAGGAACAGGATTGGGCACCCCTGATTAAAGTATTTTGATCATATACATAGCCTATACTTTGATCGTTGATCTGACATCTACCTTGTATCTTTGTATCTTTGATCTTGTGTGTGGTTTGAGAACCTCTGTATCCTGGATATTTTGCATATAATAAGAAGTGATTGGGGCCTGGTTCTGTCTCACTCCAAAATTACAAAAAAGAATGACAGGGCACATTGTTCCAACTCTTCATAAGCCGTACAGTAACTTTGTGTGATGAACAAAGCAAAATGTAAGTTGTTTTTCTCTAATCTTCAGTTTTGCAAAAGATGACCTGCAAAAGCGCTCTTCAAGAACAAAAAACTCTTAGATTTCTAATGATTCATTACCTTCTGATTACTTCAGCGCTGATGTCTTAGCATGATGCTGTGGCAGTACCACTACATAGTTGGCAGTATAGTTCGGAGAGTGTACGTTTGATATTATTATTATTATTATTATTTTAAACATCCATATTATACCAGTAAACAGCAATTTTATTAGTAATTGACTTATATATGCTGCTTTTGAAATAGATTTCTTTTTCTTTATGCAGGTCTTTGGGCAAATCAGCTATAAGGTTCCTACTGATATGTAGTGGATAAGTGCGGTGAGCATTTAATTTCATCCTATTTAATTTTATTTACAAATGTGTGCTGTTTTAGTAATCACATGGACATTTGTCTTACAGAGTTTGAGAGCTAGCCTTTGGAGGAGAACGTGAGGATGGCTCAAAAATGGAATGCATTCCAGCAAGCACAGATTCTTTCTAACCAGAGACCAGAAATGTCTGTGGGAACTATGGAATGTAATGGAATTCCAGTGGAATCAGAGGAGAACTTTGCACATGAGATAGAACAATTAATTGAGAAGGAGAACTTTTCAAGCATGATGGATTTGCAAGACATTGCAGAATCGGACATGAAAGACTTTGAGTCTGGTTCTCTGCAGGACTCCTGCTGTGAATCATCTTGGCAAGATGTAATACATTCAGATGACCTTGAACAAGAAAAGTCAGGGGATAAAGGAGAATATAATGGTAACATGACACCCTTTCCGTTGCCTAACTCAGTAGAAGTTGAGTCCACATCGGAAGCACATTCTGACGACGCCGTATTAGAAACTGCTTTTGAGACAGATGCCGGTCTTGTTGAGTATTCCGATATTAGCAGCTGTTCTGACATGGAAGCAAATCTTGATTGCAATTTGAGTTCATCCATTGAAGTTAACATTAGTAGCAACCAGGCTGTTCTGTCTTTAGAGGAAGGAGACCAAAATTCAAGTAATGCAATGGACTTTTCTTCTGCTGAGGTCTGCCATAGTACTGTGAAAGCAGATATGAGTGAAATAAATCTACAGCATGACACTGGACCTCCAGTGACCATGGGTGAGAGCAAAGGTGATGTAAACCATACTTGTAGTGAGGACTCGCTTATCTCAAATTCTGAGGATCCGTGTACAGAAGTACAAGGCGTGGATAATATGAATGGTGTAATGCTTTTTTCAAAAGATGGGCACATTGAGGAAAGGGACATTCTTTCTTGTGATTTGGATTGTTTTTTGGATCAAACAACAATGCATTGCAAAGAACTTGATACCTCTCACGGTGGTTCCACTTCAAATCATGCAAATATTGAGACTTCCTCCACTTTTAATGAAGATGAAAACAATTGCCTAACCATAGATTCACTAAGTGTTTGCCAATCGCAAAGGACAACCCCAGATGCTGAAAATGCATCATCAAAACCTGAACTTGAAGATACATTTGTCATTTCTGGCATTAGAAAAGATCCAAGTTGTGACTACCAATTGGACAGAATGAACCCAGATCCGGAAAATACACTTCCAAAACCTGAATTTCAAGAGACGACTGGGATATCTGGCCATGGAAAGGATTCACTTGGTGGCTGTCAATTAGAAAGCGACCAACCATATCCTAAAAAAACATCCTCAAAACCTGGCCATGGAGATTCTTCTCAGCTGGAAGGACAGAAGTGCTTCACATCAGATGAACAAGTTGAGCGGAGTAGTTTTGGATTCCTTGAGTCTTGTTTTGGTTTAAAAAGTGAAACACAGAACATTGAGGAACTGAAACACCTGGAAAATGCACATGCAAACCAAGTCGATGAGTGCAATCTGTGTAATCGCACAGAACCGCCAGTTCTTCTAAAAACTGCTTTTGAATCTAATAATCAGATGGATGAGGAAACTGATGCACCAAAAGATCCACTACTACTCTGTGTTGACCAGACATCCAGAATCTCCTTATATCCTGCACAGCACAAATGTCTGACTGACAATAGCACCATTGCAAGCAAAGATTCTTTATCATATTTCAAGACCCAAAAGAGAAAACTGCAACCTGTTGTTCTCCTTAAGACAACTGAGAAAAAAACTTGTAATGGAAAAAACTACCATTGCTTTGAGTGCCAGGGGTCAACACAAAGTATAGATGAGCTTATCGAGCACTACCACAGCACACATTCTCTCCATAATCTCAGTATATCTCAGTATTGTCCCCCTTGTGAATGTCACTTCACTGGTGACGCATTGACACAACACTTCTGTGGGGAAGTCAAGCTTAATGACAAGTTAAAATCATCACCATCATATACTAAAGAGCTAACCGAGGAGAAGGCAAAGTTCATTTGTAGGTACTGTAGGAAGTCCTTTGTTCGACAAGCTTATTATGAAGATCATGAGCTGAAGCACATAGTTGTCACACAACATAGATGTGACTGTTGTGGACTGTACTTTCCTAGTGCTCACAAATGTCAAAAACACAAGCGTAAAGCAGCTTGCACACCCTTGATACTAGACCCTTCTGTACAGAGTGCAGACCATTCAAAATCGACCCTCGGAAAGACAGATATACCAGACATGGTTGAAACAGCTGTCTCCCACAAAGAACTTCGTGATTGCTACGTGAAACTAATGGATGTGTACAAGACAAGCCAATCGCCTGAACAAATGCATTGTCAAGTTTGTTGGAAGACTTTCAGGCTTAGAGCACAACTAAAAGCACACCTTAGATCACACTCAGATGAGAAGCCCTTCAAGTGTGACAACTGCGGAAAAGCATTCAAATATACCTGGAATCTTAACAAACACAAAAGAGAGCAGTGTTCTCAAAAGATTGTCCCTCATGAAAAATCTTCAGTTCCAGATAGCAAGTTTCCAAAGTTTAAATGCCCCATCTGTTCTCGCATTTTCAAGTACTCCTACAATCGGACACGCCATTTGCGTGAACAGTGTATCAAAGAATACACGAAAAAAGGCAAAGGAAAGATTGGTGCAAAGTATCGATGCCCTTTGTGTAAGGATGTGTTTACCATGGCCAGCAACCGCAATAGACACATCAAGCAAACTTGTGTTAAGCTTAAACTGTATACAGCCAAAGGAAACGTAAAGAAAAGAAAAGAGTTAGAGCAAGTTATCAATACCAAAAATGAGGACAAAGAGTCACCATTGACTATGCCTGTACAAAAAGCATCGCAGTACAAATGCAATTTTTGTCCATCTGTGTATTCTAGCAAGTCTGGATACTACGGCCATCTTGCAAAGCATAAATTGCTTTTAAATGCCAAAAAGGCAATCAAACACAAACATGGTAATGGTGTCGATTTGAAAAGTTCAAGCCCTGCCAGTCAAAAGCCAACTAGCAAAGAATCTGCTGATAAGGATGCAAGCCCTCCTTTCTCTTGTCGCTTCTGTGGAAAAGCCTTTACTTTACCTGACTCGTTAAAAAAGCACTTACGACTTCATAAAGGAAACAAACCTTTTCGCTGTTTAGACTGTGGTAAAAATTTTGCCAGGCATGGACACCTAATGACTCACAAAAATGTGCATAAGCGGAATGTACAGTGTTTAGTCTGTTGGGAAGTTCTGCCATCTATTGGAGATTTGTTAAAACACAGACAGTCCCATCCAAAAAAAGGCATGCTTAAGTGCCCTGATTGCCCGTTGCAGTTTCAGTTTCCAGTTTTTCTGCTTCGACATGTGGCTGTGCATGAGAGAAGACGTAAGCTTAAGGAAATTTTCCCTCCCAAGGACCAAGCTAGAACTCTAAAGGTAGAAAAAAATTACAAAGAGGAGTTCAAATGTGCTCTCTGCCAAGAAGCCTTTCCTGACTCAAAGGCACTTAGTGAGCATTGTTTAACTCATATGCCTGGACCTTCTGCATCCAAATGTCAGTTCTGCAAACGCCATTTCTCGAGTCGTGCTGGGCTGATTCGTCACATCCGCATTCACACTGGTGAAAAGCCTTTTCCGTGTCTAACTTGTGGCAGACACTTCAACAGAAAGGAATATCTAAAAATACATCAGGAAAAATGTACAGTGGAGCAGTCAGTACAGACGCCAAATGCTGAAGAAATACAGGCAGAAAATAGTGTAGACACTGCACTAAGCAAGACCAACAAACTCTATAATTGCTCATACTGCCCACATTCTTTTCGTTTTCCCAACAATTTGAAACTTCATGAAAGAGCCCACTTGGCAAAGACTGTTTTCCCTTGTTCAAAGTGTGGGAAGTTTTACAGGAAAAGAAAATTTAAGGATCACGACGCAATCTGCAATGGAGACAAGTTAAAACCTGCTTGCAGAAAATGTGGGAGAACTTTTACTAGAAAAAACTACAGAAATGGTCACGAAAAGCAGTGCAAGGGCAAGCTATCAACTGAAATCAAAACGAGTACAAAGGAGAAGGGCAGGTTTGAGCAGCAATGTCCACAATGCTTTAAATGTTTTAGAACAAGAAGTTTTCTCCAGAAACATCTCTCTCTTCATTCAAAGGAAACCCCATATGCGTGCATACATTGTGGACAGAATTTTGACAATCAGGATCGATACTTGCAACACGAGGCTTTTTGTGGTGGTTTATCTAAGGAACGTAGATTTGAAAGTTTAAAAGGATCTAAGAAAATTAAATCAATGTTTGCTGAAGTAAAAAATCAGAAAGACGTCACTGCGGTTCCTGGGGAAAATGGTGAGGCATTGAAGTGCAAATTTTGCACTAAATCATTTTTGAGAGCCAGAAATCTAAGACATCACATCCTCACTCATACAGAGGTCAAGCCTTATCGGTGCAAGACTTGTGAAAGTTGTTTCTCACGCTATGATCATTTAAAACTGCACCAAGCCCGCTGCAGAGGAAAACGACGACTTGAGGTGCGAGTTGTAAAGATGAGTCTCGACAGCTTGAACACAAGTTCCCAAAGCAAAACACAGGAAGGTGACCCATTGCAATGCACAGTTTGCTATAAGCAGTTGTCCACCCAGAGTGATCTGAAGCGCCATATGGCCATGCTCCACATTACCGATAAACCTTTTCCTTGCAAAAGATGTGGCAAAACATACAGTTCTAAAAAGACTTTGAGCAGGCACAACCTCACCATCAGATGCAAAAAGATTTCAAAGGAAAGTGTGCCATCTGCCACAAACAATGTTCAAAAGCAGCCATGCAGGGAAACTTCCAAACTTCTGCAACGTATACAAGTGCATTACATGAATAAATTTAAATACCAATGCGAGTATTGCCCTCGACGCTTTAAATTATCAGGACAACTGAAGGTTCATTTACGTCTTCATACAGGAGAAAAACCATATGGCTGCGCTAACTGTGGAGAGCATTTCATCAGAACAGACTATTTGAAACGGCACTTGGTTAAATGCAACGGAAAGGGGGAAATCCGAGAAAAAGTCCTTTGTGACAAGTGTGGTGACCTGTTTACCCGAGATGCACTGTCTGTACACCAGAAGACCTGTGTTGTCAGCTCAAAATCATCTGGATCTTCTCATGAGGTAAACAAGAGCCCCACTAAGATAAAAGGTTTTTCCTGTGCTAACTGTAGTGACCGTTTTTTATTGTTCTCACAGCTCCAGCAGCATTTTTTAGCAAAGCATAGATCTGATCAGCCACAAGAGTCAGTTAATGATCAACAGCAATTGATATCAAATCACCTGCCAATCATAAAGCAAGAGCCACTTGATGAGGAGTATGGGCAGAACCAAGAAAGCAGCAGTCAGATAAGGGAGCAACGTGCATGTTCAAACAGAGACCTTAGCAAGCCTCTTAAATGCCCTCAGTGCAACATGCGGTTTTCCAGGAGCACTGGACTAGGTATGCATATGCGCATACATAATGGTGTATACCCCCTTTCTTGTACAAAATGCCATGTCGGTTTTTGGACCAAAAGGAGAATGGAGAAACACAGAAGAAAATGTAAGGGTCACACAATTATGTCAAATAATGAATCTGCCCTGGAAAGTGCAGGCGAATTAGATTGTGCTCTAAATGACACTGTGTTAATATTTAACAAGGGCTCAAATACAACAGGAACCGGAGTACTGCAGACTAAGTTCTCATGTAAAGATCAAGACCAGGAAAATGATGCAGAAAAAGGAGATGCTGTTCACAAGTATCAGTGTTCTGAGTGTGATCAGAGTTTTACAGATGGGCTGAGACTCATAAGTCATTTAGAGGAGCATGGCCGTGAAGACCAAGAGCGCAAATCAGATATCCACAGATGTCATGTGTGCAGTAAAGTCTTTGCTCAAGCTGGTATATTGCAAAGGCATATGAAAATCCAACATCAGACAAAAATGGATAATACTTGTGAAATTTGCTTCAAGAGGTTTCGTTTTCCTTCTGACCTGGACATCCATAGATCTTGTCATGACCCCAGTCGTCCCTTTGTCTGTAACCATTGTGAGATGCGGTTTTGGACTGCTAAATCCCTGACCATTCACCAAAGGATGGCTCATTGGCATGCACACCTGCCCAGCTCAAAAGTCCCTGGTGTGAAAAAAGGAACCGAGCACCCTGAAGTATATAGGTGTGAACCATGTGACAAAACCTATATGGTAAAAAAGTCATACACGAAGCACTGCAAAGTAAAACATGGATTGGATTCAGTCAAAACCCTCGCTGATGGATTGAAGAAATCATCTGCCAGTGTAAAACATGGATTGGATTCAGTCAAAACCCTCGCTGATGGATTGAAAACATCATCTGCCAGTGTAAGTCAGGAGTCAGATAAGGAAGAGTCCGAAAGAAATTTTGAAGATGAAGATGACAGCGACAATGACTCGGATTCAGCACCATACTTTCCTTGCCATGTTTGTGGTAAAACATTCTTAACATCAGAAAATCTCGAGGATCATCAAAGATGTCATCTTGGCGAAAAGCCCTTTGAGTGTGAGGAATGTGGGAAGTGCTTTTTTCAGCTAGCAAACTTGCAACAACATCAGCGATGCCACAAGTCTGAGTTTCAGTGTCAAATGTGTGGTAAAGGTTTTGTCTCGCTCTTCACCCTGCGCAAACACAAGCAAACACATATCAGAAAGAGCGCTCACCGCTGTACCAAATGTCACCTGAGCTTCACTCGCCCAACGGAACTAGCTGAGCACATGGTTACCCACCGCGATGAAAACTTTCCCTGTGACCTTTGTGATGAAACCTTTTCCTGTAAAACAAGTCGGGCGGAGCATCGTAAGATGCACACAGAGCATGAAGAAGAGCTTCCACCGTTGATTCCACCCCAACAGCCTCAAACAAAGCAAGGGACTTCAGCCATCTCCAGTAAAAGCCTTTCATCAAGTAACATTGAGCAGTACAAATATCGCTGTGGAATTTGTCAAGTAAGATTTCCAGATCCAGAGCAGCTCTCAGAACATGGCTGCAATCCAGCAAAAGAGAGGCCATACTCATGTCCAGAATGTAACAAGTATTTCTTACATGGTTCCCACCTAAAAAAGCATCAGCTCAGCCATCAGTTGTCAGGACCATGTTCTTATCAGTGCAATCATTGCAGCATGAGCTTCACCCACCACCACCTTTTTCTCACCCATTTGCGAAGCCACAGGAATGAAAAGGCTTCCAAGGACAGTAACTTTCCTACCAGTGAAAAGACTATACGAGTAGAAACAGTGAAGCGTGACAAAATTTACCAGTGCCCCATATGTCCTGAGAGTTTTTACCAAGCATTGGACCTCGCAAATCACCTTTCTGTTCATTCTCATATGTGCAGCGTTTGTAATATGACTTTCCCCTCTAAGAAAGAGCTTGACGAACATGAACAATGCCATTTGACTGCTGCTACACAGTATGAATGCACCGAATGCGGAGACCACTTTCTTGGAAGTGATGCTTTCCGCAAACACCACTGTAGTAATCGAAATTTGACGTTTTTAGACAAGCGCCATTCAGAGTCATCTGTCTCTTCCTCTAAGAAGCAAAGTCCAGGGACTCAATTTCAAGCAGGTGATGAAGAAGAGGAGGTTGATGTTGGAGAAGACTTCATTATTTGCCCTATCTGTAAAAGACGGTTCTCCTCCAATAGCAGTTTAATGGAACACCATAAAAAGCATCATGAGGATCCGCGTCCTTTCAAGTGCTTGGTTTGTAATAAAGGTTTTACGAAGAAACGGTACCTTACACAGCATCAGCAGATACACAATGAACGGCCTTACAAGTGTGATGTGTGCTCAGAATCCTTTAAAACGGAACCAAGTCTCATATCTCACCGCAGAATGCATGATGCAAAAAGGCAGCACAAGTGCCCAATATGCTACAGAACCTACCTTACAGCACACGATCTGGCAAAACATAAACGGAAACATGCTGAACATCAAAGTCGGAGTCAGGACAATGAGTTCCGGTGTGATATGTGCTATAAATCCTTCGCATTGTTTGATCAGTTGCAAAAGCACCAGGAAACCCATGTAGGACAAGTTGTCTATGAATGCACAGAATGTGACAAAGCCTTTGCTTTTCTAAATCTTTTGGAGGACCATCAGCTGACTCATGCTGCTGCTTCTGCAGAATCTCTTCAGTCCCAATCACCAATACATTTTCCCTTCCAAAGCCCAATGCATGAATAAAGGTCGAATTACTGATGACTCCGTTTCCTGCAATGCAGGTTATTCAAACTCATTCAGTTTTCTGAACATTATTTGTTAAGATAAACTGTACATAGAATCCTTTGTTCTTTTTACTTAGCCTAACTGCTTTTATCCACTTTGAAATTGAGCGTGGGTGTTTTACCGTAGTTCTGAATCGGTCTATTAATGTTCATACAATCCACTCTGTTCTACAGTTCTGTGAACTGCTGACTAAATTCTCTTTGTACAGTACTCAGACTGATGTGTGTATATTAATATGCAATCTAGATGATGTATGGAACTATAGGTATATGCATGCATGAATGAAGTAGTTAGAGATGTTAATGTCCCACAGTGCAGTTCACAAGGATGTATAGTTGAAAATCCTGCATCATTCCTTGATTGTTGAAGTAATTTTTGACCTTGCTAAATTTATTAGGCATATGTGTTTTAAACATCATTGAAAGTTAGAGGAAATTTGTAGATTTAATTGTTAATATTTCTTAGTAATGTAATTTTTTTTTTACTATCCATGTGTTTGTAAACATTTAAGGTCAAGTTAAGGGTTCATCACATAGTCGTTATATATGATGTGAATGCCTTGAGTTAAAATGATGTATTTTATGTTTCATTAAAACCCAGCGTTATCTTTTTGAGAAGAGTCTAACTTCAATGGCTTTGCTCAATAACAAAAAAGAAGAGAAAACAGGCTTGACAAAAAATACTGTACCCTTTCTGTTTAAACTACATTAGTGCTAACGTATATATGACTATAAAACCTGATGTATAGTTTTACTTTTGTATTATATGGCAATGTTGAGAATTTCTTCAACTAGTAAACATTTACATCTACTTTGCTGTTTTTGAGAAATTTCTTTCACTTTTGGAATGACTTGAGGTAACTAGTCACATTGAGCCAAGTTTTGTATCCACTTAAAGTAGGCTTTACTAAGAAAGTTTAACTCGTAATAAAATCAAAATTCTTTGATTTAGTGTGAATTTTAGTATAAACAAGTATAAATACCTGCTATACATGCATTCTCTTACAGCGGGGTTCACCACATTAACAAAAAGAGCAAATTTTTCTCACCCAAATGTAAGCATTTATAATAATGTTTTATATTCGGAGAACATGGTCAGTCGTCCTGGCCTGTAGCTTTTTATTAATCAGCCTTCACTATTACCAATCATGTTTATGTAGCCATTGGAGAAGGAATCTCAGCATCGCTCAGTTAATTAAAGAGTTGTTTAGCCTTTCACATTTCACTAATCCATTCTTTTAATTGTGAATCTAAGATATCTACAGGTCAAGAGCTACCCAACTTGGTACTTTTAGAACTATAATCTGTCTTATAACGTTTGACAAGTAGGCCTATGCTCAGATTCAGACTGTGTGGTACGTTTGGCGTTGATATGACATAAGCATTAAAAGTGAAACCTGCATCATCAGTATAACTTTAGTTTTGCCTTTCATCTATTTTTAATTGAATTGTTTTAAAAAATGTCTCATCTTTTAGTGTCCTCTTCGGAACAGAAGTATATACTGCTGCATGATTATTTTACTGGTTTCCAGTCAACAATTTTTTTTTTATAAAACCACCACAGGACCTATAACAGTTATCACTTAAATAATATCAAATTTAAGGAGGTTGTTCTGTTTTGGAACAAGCTAGCTATTTTCTAGCTGGTATGGTCATCTAGTAGCTGGCTTTTTGCTGACCCAAGTTGGTCTATTGGCATGCACCAGTTAGAAACCAGCTATTTTGTTCCAAAACAACTACCGGTTTAAGCTAGGAATAATTTAAAAGAGAATATTTTAGCCATGCTGCTTCCTTTCAGCCGACTTTGGTCATATTGCCCATCTCTAATTCATTCCTTCCCTATGTGACTTGCAAAGGCACATTCTCTCCCAGCGCTTGCATTTCAGCTCTGAGCTCGATTGCTAAGTAAAACACACCCTCTCGTTACCATACAAAGAAATAAATAAATACATAAACAAATTAATAATGGGGAGGGGGGAATAAAGGTATAATTTTTTTTTTTTTATTATTATTTATTTAGCATAGCCTACTTGTATTTATTTGTAGCCTGTATTTATTATTTTGTCAGCTTTGGTTTTCCATATCTTCAATGTTTTTAATAAAAAACACCTAAGCACTGAGAAGAAAATTAAATCAGAAATGTGTCTCTTTCCAAAGTTTGATGATGATAATACACATTTATTTAATAAAGATTATAACTATATAATATTGTAGGCCTACCTTCCATATCACCTAGGCCTATGAATAATACTGTTCAATGATGTGTACCTTGTAATATACCCCAATGAGGAAGGTTTAGGTCTATTTCTGTAGGGAGGCAACACCGGTCCCTCACACCAGTTGATGGCGGTATGTTTAATCCATATATCTGGGAACTGGGAGTGGAAGTGAGCGCTCATATATACTGCCCTCTATAGTGAACAGCCGGAATAATATGTCTATACTGAAACCCGTTGCAAAATACATACCGTCTTTCGGAGTGAAAATAAATAACTTCTTTGAGTAAAATCATGCTAGTTTGCACATCGTACTTTCCCAAGGTGAGTGCAAGCCAATAACTGTTTTAAGTACTTGTTATGCTTCGTTTTTATTCGCGCATACATTCGTTAGCTGCGGTTTTTGTCATTCAATTCCCCTGTGCAGCACGCGAATGACGTTCCGCACGCGCTATATCAAGCAATCAGATATTCCTATAAAGCGCGTTTGTTTTGGAAAAGAGGTGTTGTTCGCGTTTAGATGTTGGAGGTTGGTTGTATAGTTAAACATGTTTAGTCTGATGCCAAGTCTGCAGCATCCATTGCAGTGTTTGTTATTGGCAGGGTCTGTGTTATTTTCATTATTTTTTTAACTATATACTAAAGCTAAATCAGCGGGTGGTATGCATATTAACCTGGTGATGCATTTTATTTATTTATTGACATGATGTTTATTGAACATATTTGAGTAAAGAGCCACGGGAAGCGGCCAGGCCTATCAAAATCGAAGCATGCAATGAGTCGTCTTGCCTCTTTCTCTGTCCTCTATTGTTGCTGCATTTGAAACGTAGGCTATTTGTTACGAATAATTAAACACTTTACTTCAAAACGAGAGAAGGGCAGCATTTTATTTGTACTAGTTTGAGTTTCCTGAGCAGAAATTGTTTTTCTCATTTAAATATGCATGTACTCACTGAGGTTAATGACACATGTGGATGTACGATATTGTAAAAGGCATAACTTGCATCTTTCAAAAGTATTTAGTTTGCCAAGTTTTTAGAAATGTTATTTTTGTATTCATTTTTTTTGTTTTACACAAATAGTGTTTTTTTTACTTTTAATCATATAAAAACATTTTTACATTTTTTTTTTAAATGTAATGAATTTCAAGATTTTTTTGACATTAGCAGGTTCTTTTTAATCATTAATATTTGTTAATCAATCAAAAAACAGCCTTGTCTATTTGAGAACAGTCTGGCTTTGCTCAATAAATAAATATAAAAAAGGCTAATCACTTTCTGCTTGTATCACTTAAAAAATAGACATCACTGTACCTTTCAATGAGAATTTGTTATATCAAATAGTGTTTTATTAGTCAGTATATATTTCAAATTCATGGATCCAGTTAAAAGTTTTATTTTAGTTTAGAACCGATTAGAGTATGTTTTTGATGCTGGTATATATATATATTTTTATTTGATCGAAAAAATTTAAATGACACGAATAATTCCATTTTGAGAACTGCATTGCAGAATTGTCTTTTACTAAACTTATAGGGTCCTAAACATGACAGTGCCTAGATCTATAACATTACATGATATGTATGCCTGTATTGAAAACATTTGAAAACTCGTGCTATGCCACTAATTTTGTTTATTTGCTTTCTTTTTTAGGAGGTACTCAACAATAACAAAGACCTTGGTAACACTTCTTAAATTTAATATTCGGCAGTGGAATCTTCTGGCACCTGCAAAATGCTTGGACTTCAAGAAACAAAGTCAGCGGGGAGTCCTAAAACTTACAGCTGTGTGGCATGCTCAGCTACGTTTCATAATTTGGCATCACTCCTGGTGCACCAAGCAACTCATGCAAGTGAAATCTCTTCCCAGACAGAATCGACATTACCTACTTGTGACAGCTGCGGAAGCTTATTTGCGAGTAAAGATCTCCTTGAAAAACACCACTGTATAATGTCGGCCTCACCAGTCTCTCCAGCCCAAACCTACATATGTGAATGTGGTGAGGAGTTTAGTGGTGTTACAGCTCTTGAGGCCCACAAAAAGCAACATGGGCCAGAAAATAAGGACAAATCAGATTTGGGTAAGATTCCTATTGTGCCAGATAGCAAAATAAACTCCAGCCGTCCTGTCTCCGATCAAGTTTTTCACAGTCTCTCTCCATCCCATTCCAATGAAAAATCCCTTGCAGAAAGTGCACCTCCTACTTCAAATGCTGATATCAAGAAGACCGAATCCTCTGCAGACATGGAAAGCAACATCTTGAAACCATTTGAATCTCCCTCTGTGACCGAAGAGCAAGTGCAGATCCTTGAGATGGACACTTTAACATCCTCCGGCGTGGTAAGAGAAGAGCAAGTGCAGATCCTTGAGATGGACACTTTTAAATCCTCTGACGTGGTAGAAGAAGAGCAAGTGCAGATCCTTGAGATGGACACTTTAAAATCCTCTGACGTGGTAGAAGAAGAGCAAGTGCAGATCCTTGAGATGGACACTTTAAAATCCTCTGACGTGGTAGAAGAAGAGCAAGTGCAGATCCGTGATATGGACATTGCAAAATCCTCTGACGTGGGAAGAGAAGAGCAAGAGCAGATCCACGATATGGACACTTTAAAATCCTCCAACATGGTAGGAGAAGAGCAAGTAGAGATCCTTGAAATGCACACTTCAAAATCCTCTGACGTGGTAGGAGAAGAGCAAGTGCAGATCCTTGAAATGGACACTTCAAAATCCTTCGACGTGGTAGGAGAAGAGCAAGGGCAGATGCTCTATATGGACACGTTAAAATCCTCCAACGTGGTTGGAGAAGAGCAAGTGCAGATCCTTGAGAATGACACTTTAAAATCCTCCAACATGGTAGGAGAAGAGCAAGTGCAGATCCTTGAGAAGGACACTTTAAACGTGGCAAACCATTCTGTGCATGACAATGAGAAATCACCAGAATCTTGTGAAGAATCAACTGCATTTAATAAGAAATCAATCCTGAAGATGCTAGCATCTGCCTACATGAGTCATAAACAACCCGCCCAAATGAAACAGAGGAACTTGCCTCCCAGAAAAGTTTCACCGAGAGCACCAATGCAACCTGCAACTGCCATGACGATATCAAAGCCAGAGCTACTGGAGGATCTATCAAAGATGAAACAAGACAATGTGGTCAATGTGAAAATTGGAAAGATGTTGTCAAAGAAGGGGAAGATTATATCCGTGACACAAACTCTCTGCCCCGTGGTGGTTCTTGAGACTCGTCAAAAACTTTTTGGCCGGGACAACGTTGAAGGCAAACTTCAGTGCAGGCTCTGCCGTCGGGTTTTCCAAACCGTAGACAGCTTGATAATGCATCATGCCTTGCACAAGAAAGAGAGAGTTAAGTTTTGTCTTTGTTGCCAACAGTTTGTGATAACGGTAATCTCTGTCCCAGAGAACCACGTCTGCTCTGATGCATTTTCTAGAAACTCTCAATCTTTGGGAAAGAAGTCTGTGACACCTATCAGCCCTACAGCTCAACAGTTGGAAAAAATGTTCTACTGTTCTTTCTGCAAGCGTGGCTACACACGGAGGCACCGCCTCAAAATTCATAAATGTCCTTATAAATCTTCTCTGAAATCCTCGCCCACTGTTGCCAACCAACGTCACGTCAAACTCCAAAATATGGAAGAGTGCAATAGAGCAAAGCAAGACTCAAAAACAAATCAAATGTCATCACAGCATATAAATATTGGCGTAGGCACAGAGCCGATAAAGATGGAGGAACAGAATACAGAATTTTCAATTGACAAGAAAAATCAGACTGGGTTGAAGATGCAGCGGAAGGATCTGATAAATCCCCCAGAAACCCATGAGTCCATTTTTGCCAGTGTTTCTAACTCCAAACCAACTGAATCAACTGAAAACTCTGTTGGAGTACCAAGCAAAATGGTTGAAATGAAAGTAGAGGAAAAAGGTAAATTGGTTGAAAAGGAGTGGACCATGCCATTGGATGATGCTGAAATTGATGTACTAATAGATGTAGATCAAAAGGACTCAGATGAGGATGATTTGACTGACGTGGCTAAAGACGACTGTGATGAAGATCAGGATGTTGTCATTGTAGAGCTACCTGAGGACAAGGAAATTAATTCAGCAATACCTAGTAATGGTTTTCAGGTGCATGTGACTAATAAAGGCGTGAAACGGTATGTTTGCAATGGGTGCCAGAGAAGCTACTCTCGCTTATTTACCCTAAAGGAGCACTTGAAGATTTGCGAGGCGAGAAAGTTGGAAGAGCAAAAGGTTGAGAATGCATCATCTGATTTGCCTGGGCCAATTAAACGGTTTCCATGTCCTCAATGTGGCAAGTTCTTCAGCCGCAAAGACAATCTAAATAAGCACAGAAAAAAGTGCCATGCAACAAAAACGGATTCAGTAGTAAGTTCTAGAACCGTGGAGTCTAAAACAACACCTGCAACTCAGGAAAACTTATTTGTCCTGTCTCCATCTACAGAAAACCAAGCAGCCCAACAGGAGAGCACTCAAAATGCTAGCAGTAGCAGAAACTGGGGGATCATGTCACTTCCATCTGTACTCCCAAGAAGGGTGACGTGCGAATGCGGAGCCTCGTTCACTTGTCCTCGACTTCTCTTCGAACATCTGCAGGTGCATGCGCAGGAGTCTTACATTTGTCCTCACTGTGGTGAGAATTTGCAGTCGTGGATGGACTTTGAAGCACATCAGCAATTGCACAAGCAATCTAAAATCCCAGCAAATGAGCAAAGAGGTTCCCAGCAACAACCTCGTTCATTTTCTCAATCGGTACCATCGCATGCTCCGACTCGACCGCAACAATCTAGAGGTTGTTCGCCGCTTAACATAAAAGCACAACCGCCTGCACTCTTGTCACCTCAACATGTGAACCATAGGTCATTTCCTGAGACATTGACTTGCCATAAATGCAAAAAGAACTTCAGTCTCCGCAGTTCCTTGTTAAGACACATACGGTTACGTTGCAAAGGTGATACTGCAAGTCAGAGGAAACACACTTGCTCTCGTTGTGGCGCAACATTCAACAACCCATTGACCCTTAAAGTTCACATTCAAAGCAACACCTGTAAACCCGCATTTAAACCGATTCGATGTCCGGTGTGTGTGCGTTGGTTCAGTTGTCTAGATGGGCTCAAGAGACACCTAGTCTCGCACAGCAGGCAAGCTGGGCTGACATGTCAGATTTGTGACCATAATTGTCCAACACCTCAGGCACTCGAGGAGCATAAAAGAAATGTTCATGGAGTCATTAACAGAATGACGCCAGCGGAGGACACACCGGAACGGTTGCCCCAAGCAGGCACACAAAGCAGTGCATCTACTCCTTTTCAATGTCCTATTTGCCTTCGCAGTTATCCGAAGCTTCAATCCCTGAAGGATCACTTAAGGAAAGTTCATCGGCCTAAACAGCCAAATCTGGGTACCGTAGAACCTGTCCGTTCTGGCCAGTTTCAGTGTCAGATATGCGCCCGCTCCTATCATGACATAAAATCGTTGAAAAACCACAGAAGAAGAGTGCATCGTATTTTTAGTGCTGCGTTTCAGCCATCGAAGGTAACTGAGCAAAACCGCACTCCCAATCAGTTTCAATGTCACATTTGTGCACGCAGCTATCCAGATGTACAGTCCCTCCGAAACCACAGAAGGAGGGTCCATGGTATCGTGGGTGGTCTTGAGGTGTCGAGGGGCATGGCTCAACACAATCTGTACAAGTGTCAGATTTGCCAACGCAGCTATCCTGACATAGTGTCCCTTAAAAATCACACAAGAAGGGTACACCGCATATTAGGGCCAGTGCCTGAAACATCATCATCAACAACAACAAATGACACAGAAGATGATCTAGAGCAGAAACCGATACCTTTTCTGCATACATAAAAGTTGGATCTACTGCTTGCTTTCATTGCTGCATATGCGATCAAAATGTAATTAAAAAAAAGACGTTATAAAGCAGAAGTTTGAATACATTTTTAAGAGTAGTGAAAAATAATTTTGAATTGTTTAAAATGTTTAAAAAAAATTTCATATCTGATCAGTAGTAGAATTTTGTTTTGTCTTGTTAATATCATATTTGGCTTCCTCTGTATTTTATTGGTTTCCTTAATTCATCTATTGAATACAGATTTTTTTTTTAATACAGAGATTTTTGGTGAATGCACTGTATAAACTAAAAAAAAAAAGTTTTCTGCCTTTTTTTATTGTAGCCGTTGTGTATTGTTAGTCTACTGTAAATAATACATTCTGATGTAAAGATGTCCTACGTTGCATCAATAAACACAATAGTGACACCTTTCTAAGTCTCCAGTAAAGTAATAACAGATGTGGTCATGCACACATGTTATAGTGTGCTAAATGTTGCTAGCAATAGCAAAACTTTTTGGACACATCTACTGTAAATTATAAAGATGGAAAGATTTGGTGAACTGATTAAATGGTAAAACTGATGGAGGACTGAACAAATTAAAATGCATTAATTGCTTTAGGCAGTGAGCTAAGTCAACGTGTTAAATTTGCATCAAAAACAGCTTCAGGAGCGACACAAAAATGTCACAATTGTTTCTGTATTATGTGGTCATACAAAAAAAAAACTGAAAATCAAGTAGCTTATCGGAGTTCTGTAGTTATTGTGTAAACATTATTTTGGTAACAATTCACTATAAGGTGTTATGTGCTAATTTATTTCAATAGCAGACATGAAAAAACAATGAAATTTTTTTTACATTTTGCATTTATTAGTCTAAAATAATATTCATTTTATACGTACTAGTACATTTTAACATACCAATAACTAAATTAATATCAGTTCATAATCTATATCATGAATGAACTTAATTAACAATGACCAATAGTAGGCTACATTTATGACTTATACCTGTTCTGAATCAACATAATACTTGGTTCTGTTTTATGAAGGGCAGCATCAGATCAGCCCTACACTTGCCATTGTCATGACGTATGTTAATTTGCTTATCATTTATGGTTTTAGAATTTGATATGCTATTTATTTTTTATTTATAATTTCACATTTAATTTTGAACCATTTCTATGGTTTGGTTAGCAACTTTTAACGGAATATTAGATGCATGGCTTTTGCAGTGAACAATTTGTTTTCTGAAACGTTTTAATGCTGTATATATATATATTTATTTAACTGCAATTAAAATCGAATAAAAGTCATACCCATACCCATGTCTTTATAATTGATGATTTGGTATACATCGTGCGCGGTAAATGCAGTCAAACTAGAATTATTTAACTAATTATTTATGTGTTTACATATTGGGGGGATTTTCTTTACATAACCACACATCCACAAAAAGACGTCGAAGAGGCTTTTATCGGAAACGGAAAAGGAAACTCCATTTGTTTAGAGTCAGAGTCTTGAATCGTAGTTCATTGGTGCGGCTGAAAAGAAAGAGCATGAAAGGTAAGCTTGGTTGCCTTTCTTTGTGTTGCTTGTTCGCATGTACTTTCTACAAAGTTAAGGCAGAAGCTCATTTTATGCTGTCGATCAAACATTGGGTAATTATGCATTGAAGTGGTGTTTTTTTATTATTTAAAAAAAATAAGTGTTGGTGTTTTAAATTATTCGTTTAGTCGTGCGTTGAATTAATCGACAGACACATTAATCCTGTTCAAAGACGCTGATTTCGCTTTTCAAAATAAACTCGTTCTTAAAGGACAGGTTCTGTAGTAAGGAGATGCAGGGCTGACTGTAACAGCGCATGCATAAAGCATTACAGAGACATTTTGAAAGGAATGGCCTTTGCAAACGCCTGCAGAGCGTCATATCACTCTGAATCAACCGCTATCTACTGCGGCACTGAATTTTGTTCAATTGTTGTTGTGCTTTTGCAGTCATTGTTGAATATTATTAAATATAAATACTGGGTAAGCACTCAAAAAGGGGACAATGAGTTGAGAACCCTTATTTGTTTTGTTTTCTTTGTTGTAGTTCTATTCACTAACGAATGACTCGTATGAGCCGGTTCTTTGAATGAATCGGTCTAATAAAAGAACGGACCACGAGCCACTATTGACAATCATAGAAACACGTGAAACATTTAACACTTGATGGCAGTAATAAATAAGGATCAACTTAAAAAATAAATAAACGTAACGTATAAAAACAATCATAGGTATTCAGCTACTTAATCTCCTATGTTTTATACATTATTATATTAGTTAACTCTTTGGAAGTTACAAATATTGAGGATATCCTGCATGAAAATAACAAACGTGGGTGTTACTGATGACATTTATGCATTTAGGGATATAATATTTTGCCATCAAAATAATACAGCAATACAATTTAAACAATACAAATGCTTGTATGTGACGTAACAACTTTTTAAAATTGGCCATATATCATTACAATTCCAACTTGGCAGTAAGAATATAGCAGTGTCCATCAGCAGCTCTCAATCAGGTCCAGTGAATGTGCTGTGTTGTTTTGCAGTCGGATGCCGTCGGACACACTCTTCCGGAGATCAAATATGATGTATATAATATTATTTTAATATAATGTTATGTATTTTTTCATCGATGTTGTTCTACAACAATATTAATATACACCTATTACGTGGATAACATGTGAAGCAGCTACTAATGTGCTGATGAAACTTATCATTAGATGCAATACATCTTTTAATATCTTATCTATATCTTTCATTCCTTTTCCTTTGTCTGGTTTCAGCTTGAGTAAAGGGAAACTCAGGCACCTGCAGGCGACTCGCACATCATGCTTAAAGGAGAGGATAAGAAGCAAGGAACCAACACTGATGAGGATGAAACCAAGGAACAATCTGTGAAGAGAGGTATGGGGGAATTCATTTCAAAAGGTCTGGCATTAAGCTCCCAGAACAGACGAGTGGAGGAACCGTCGCCTGCAGGCACTAATGCCCTACCTGAGTCCTTGCCTGTTAATGTTGACGAAAAAGAGAGTGAAAAAGGCTCTTGTAATGCAGATGTAAATACATTTCCAGAGCAATTTAAGTCTGATTTTACCCCTGTCAAAGAAGCTGAAATGGATGCTCAGAAATGTTTGGAAGACCTTGATCAGCCAGAGTCAAATTCTAATTGTCTTTCCAGCACCACAGATAATGGACCAAAATCACTGACTCTTAATGCAGAATTAAATAAACCACAAATCGACACTCGGATATCTGTTCAAACAGATGAAATCTCAAGTAGTCAGTCTGAAAGGGAGTCTGATATGAATGAAGCCCACTGTTCAACTGTCCAAACATCTGAGAAAGATGTCTGTGATACATCCTGTCCTATTATAAGTGATAGCCAGAGTGATGAAGATTCTGACAAACAAATCCATGAGGACACTGCAGATGCAAAAATTTCTGACACTGAAAATCAAGAAGCCCTGCCCTCTGACACATTAAACCAAACTGATGTAACATTGGATGATGCATGTTTAGATCATTCACCTGAGAAAACGCAAGAGCCTAATTCAGAGCTGAATATCCAGACACCTTCAACTGAAGCCAGTGCCGAAGCAACCAGTATGGAGATCAAAGAAAGTAAACGTGGATTTCATTCATTTTCTCGCGGACGGCCACGCAAAGAGAAACGGGTCATCAAGTGTGAATATTGTGGGCGCCCGTTCAATCATGCCTCTGCGTATATCATTCATCTGCGTGTCCACACAGGTGAGAAGCCCTTCACATGCCAGGATTGTGGTAAAGCCTTCGCTCAACTCTCTAACCTGCGATCTCACAGCAAAGTCCATAAATCCAAAAGTCGGAAACGTGCGCACAGATACCAAGACCGAAGTAGAGCCACGGCTGAGAAAAATGCAGACATGAACCATGTGAGCGTGATCGACAAAGTGGAAAGTGACTGTCGTAGTAATCAAATCACCCCTAGAAGGAGGAGGGGGCGAGGAAGAGGGAAAGGGAAACCTCAAACATGTCCGATCTGTGGCAAAGTCTTTTGCTACAAGTCTGTCCTCAAAATCCATCTTCGTATTCACAGTGGAGAAAAACCATACTCTTGTAAGGTGTGCGGCAAATCCTTTACTCAGGCTTGTACTGCACGTGTCCATGAAAGAGTGCATTGGTCCATCAGGCCTTACTTTTGTTCAAAATGTGGTAAGGGATTTTCTCAGATCGGGCCATTAAAGATACACACGTGTGAAGGTAAGAGACACCCACATTCCACGTTGAAAGATATGGAATTGGATGGTGTTATCAGCTTCAGGTGTCACCTTTGCAAAAGTTGCTTTGGCACCAGAGATGAGTATGAATTACATTTGCAAGGACACAAGGATACCCAGCGTTACAGCTGTGACTGCTGCAAGCAGACGTTCAGTCTTCTCTCAGAGCTACATACGCACAGCAAGCACTGCATTGCCATGCGGCTCCCAAAAACCAAGTCTTCTGGTTACAGTTCTCCTCACAGATTACAACCCAAAAACTCCTTGAAAAGAAGAACGGCACAAAAAATGCGAAGTGCAAGTCCAGTAAAATCTCCTGAAAAAGATTTGTCTTTGCTGAGGAAGTTCAAAAGATGCTCTTCTTTGCTTGCTTGCCCTCCTCAGGTCATGGCCACGTCTGTTTATGACTCTCAGAATAATCTCTATTCAGTGAATCAGCCGATCAAATGCAGCTATTTTGTATCTCAACTGAACAGTACGCACCAAAACGCAGATCCAAGAAAGTACTTCTGCCCACGGTGTGGACGAGTATTCCGGCATGTAGGAAGGCTGAGAGCCCATATGCTCACTCATTCGCGGGGTCAAGGCTTCACGTGTGTCGATTGCAACAGGATGTTTAAAAACTGGAACAAATTTTGGATTCATCAGCGGCTGCATAGGCAGAAAAGAGGACGTTTTTTTTGTCCCAAGTGCGGTCAGGGGTTTCGATTTGTGGGCTTGTACAATAAACATCTGCAGAAGCATCCAGAGCTTAACGCTCATGTTTGTCCCTTCTGTCCTCACACGTTCTCAAATGCACAAAAGTTGAGAAATCATCAGCAAGAGTGGCACCGCTCAACTATGCCCTTTATTTGTGATATTTGCGGAAAAGGTTTCCCAAGTGCGATCGTTCTTAAACGACACGGAGTTGTTCACTTCACAAATGATCCAATGGAGAGACATTACACCGTTGATCCTCAGTCTGCTGTGCATCCCTACGAGTGCGGTACGTGCAATGCCAGTTTTGAGACCTTAGACTTGCTTTTCCATCATCAGCTCCTCCACAAGCCTGTAGAGAAAAAGCCAATAGCAATGAAAGGCCAGCTACTTATAACAGGGGAACATCAATCTCACCACCTCCAGCGTCAAAGCCACAGCTACTGCCTTTCTGATAATCAGACACAAAAGAAACTCCTCTCATTCTCCTCTTCAAATAGTGCTGAAATGCCTCATTCATTGTTACACTTAGGTCCCTCAAGCTTGCATCCATTACCAAAGCAGCAGCAAAAACCGAACAGTGAGGACCCGAGCACCACCAGGACATTGGCTAATGTGTCATCAGACCCACATTCCTTTTCTAATTCTCAAAATAATGAGAGGCAAATGGTTAAAAAACACATTGAGAACAGTTTTTCAACAATGGAAGAATTAAATGGTTCAAGCCGGTCACCATCTGTATTGAAGACAGAGGACACAACCGGTAACTTAGTTTGCACTGAATGTAACGCTTGTTTTTCCAACCTTCTAGAATTGCATGGACATTACTTGGACCATGCTAGAGGACAAATATGAATATTCTGTAAAAGTTGTTCTCTTTTGTTCAATGAGTGTGTGAGGAACTTTTGTATGGGAATGACATAACTTCTGAAACTAGTGAAAATGTTGGCTGTATATGAATATTATGTTTTTCATGTGATATCAACATTACTGATGTACTGACACATAATTTTGTTTAAAAAATAAATTTTCAAATATTTGGACTAGTTATTCCCTGTAATGGACAGTGTTGTTTTATTTAGAGATCCTGTAGTTTGATTTAGATGACTGTTGGTGCTGTAATTGAAATGTTATCTGTTGCTTATAACAGATTAAATGTCTTGTCTGATATTGCTCAAGTGTTATGTTATTTATACTTGTATAGCTGTTTGGGCTAAACATTCAGTTTTTTTTGTTTTTTTTTAACAAGATAGAAAGTACAACCAGATCTGACCAGAAATTAATAAATAAATTAAAAGAAAAGATCCATAATAAATGTATTCAATTACATTTAAAATAAATTAATAGTCAATTTAAATAATGATAATGTGGAACTCAAACTGTGAAAATACAGACATCTCAAAACTTAGCTAAATTATAATATAAATAATACAAAGAAAATTTTATAATGTTTGTTATCAGATGTTTATTTTAGTTTGCCAAATGATATTGCAACATGCCATTATGATTATGGCCTCGAAAGTCCTTGGGAGCTTAGTTGGAGTTCATGGTGTTTCTGATCCAGGTGGTGAAGTTGCAGACTTTGGCATAGACACCAGGATTGTTCCTCTGGGCACAGCCGTAACCCCAGGACACAATACCCTGCAGCTGGTTGTTGCACACCACTGGGCCGCCAGAGTCACCCTGCGATACAGAAGCGTTTCAGAGAAGTCAATAATTAATTCAAAAATATCTATATATATATATCTGTTAGCTTGACATCAAAAGTTTAGCATTGATCTTACCTGGCATGAGTCCTTGCCTCCCTCCATGAAGCCAGCGCAGAACATGTTGGAGGAGATCTGACCAGGGTAGGCACTTTTGCAGGTGGTGTCACTCAAGATAGGAGCCCACAGGCACATCAGACGGCTGGGGTAGTTGCCTGAGAAAACATCAAGTCCCCACTTGGTTAATTTGCATTAATGGGTTATTTTAAGATGCCCTAAAGATTTATGCAGGAAGTTTCATTCCATATTAATTCAGTGGCACGCACTTCCACTGGCGCTCATGTTTCCCCATCCAGAGATCAGGCAGCTGGTACCAGATGAAGCACAGCTTGAAGGCAGAGCAACGGTCTGAACGTAGCTGTTCAGAGAGGCGGCACTGCTCAGCTTGATCAGCATGACGTCATTGTCCAGAGTATTGCTGTTGTAACTGGGGTGTCTGATGACCTTATCGGAGTTGATGAACTGCTCGGTGCCCTCAGTGGTGTCAATGTTGTGCTCACCCAGACGCACCTGGACACGTCTGAGAATAGAGACAAGTAAGTAAATGTTAAACTCGTTAACATACTTCTACAAATAATTTTTTATTGAACCTAAGAAAATCTGCACTTTGTTGGCTGAAATGTAAGCAATTACTAATGATTTATCCCTTATGTGCCTCTTAGGAGATATTTATTTTTGAAAAGTAATTTCTGTATATAGACACATATGGTAGAATATTGACTACAGTAAGCTGATGGACATTTCTACCCCATAGCAGGGCATATTGTCACACTATGAGCAGATTGAGTTCTGTCATTCAAAAATTTGGGGTCGGTAAGATGTTTTGAAAGAAGTATCATAACCTCACTGTGAGGTTATGATAATATGTGTAACCTGGACTGTTGGTCCAGATATACTGAAGTTGAGCCACATTGTTTTTAGGTAAAGCATTGATTCCAAAACAAATGTCAAGTGTGTGTGGAGAACTTTTAAATTCACCATGAAATCAAATTTGACCATTCTTGTTTTTTTACGGAATGTTGCAGTGTTTTATAAATGACTGCACATTTTTTTAAATTCATATGCCCTAGAAATCTTTAAACAAAACGTTAACCACCCTCCCAGTGGAAACGGCGTCTGTTCTCTTCATGACGTATGTCTCGACGGAGGGTGGAGATTAATATCCTCCACAACTGACTGCAAACTTGCATCTTCCTACGAGCCAATCAATTCCAAGGACAAAATCGAGTCCCACCAAGGCTGCATTAATTTGATCCAAAATATAGTAAAAACAGTACTACTGTGAAATTTTATTACAGTTTAAAACAGTTTTCTATTTCAAAATATATTTTTTAAATGTGATTTATTCCTGTGATGGAAAGCTGAAGTCTCACAGTGTCACATGATCCTTCAGAAATCATTTAATATGCTGATTTGGTGCTCAAGAAACATTTCTTATTATTATCAATTTGAAAACAATTCAAAAACTCCTTAATATTTTTTGTGGAATTTCTTTCAGGATTCTTTAATGAATAGAAAGTTATATTAAACAACATTTATTTAAAATAGAAATCTTTTGTAACATTATCAATGTCTTTACTGTTACTTTTGATCAATTTAATTTCATACTTAATTTCTTTAAACAAAATTAATGGCATACCAAGGAGAAATTTGTCATTACATTTGTTTATTTACTTGCTTTCTGTTAAATTTAAAAATGAAAAAAAAAATGAAGCGCAAAATAATTCATGACAAAGCTAAAATGTTAATAGTAACATAACTACACTAGAAGAAATCGTTAAACAAAAACATTATTCTTAATTCAAATCCAAAGACAAAGTTTTTGTGCAAGTGGACTTTTGAGTCAAACCTACTGAGATATAATTATTGTAACAACTTCCCCATGTGACAAGCTCCAGCCCAGTCTCCCCTATATATTTTATGCGCATGCAAAAAAAAAAAAACACTTTCACTTACGACTTGTAGCAGTGAGCAGCTGACACGACCCAGAGGTTGCTGATCAGAGAGCCACCGCAAAAGTGGTAGCCACTGTTCAGGGAAACCTGGTATGGAACACCATTCTTAGTACACTCAAATCCACCAACAATCTTGTCATCCTCATCCAGAGGAGCGGCATCTGGGAAAACATAAGGTTTCATTGTTTCATACATACATTTTACCAAAATTAATGAACAGAGCTGTAACCATACGGAATTAAATTAAAAATTTATTCTATTTTACATGATGAATTTTTGTTTAGAAAACCCCCCCAAAAAACCCTTAACAGATCTGTATTAATTCCAATCTAAATCTTTCCTGCCCCTTTACTTACAAGCCACAGCGAACAGAGCCAGAAGAATGAGAGCCTTCATGTTGAGACTGCTGAGTGTGTGTTCCCATGCTTTTAAGACCCACCTTTTATACTCTGTCTTCTCCACAGCTGGAGATAATTTTCAAGGACATACATACATTTTGGTTCATTATGTAAGCCTTAAATAGCAACCAGTGTGTGACTCCAGCATGTGCTTCAACATAATTCAGATTGTCTTTCCAGAAACAATATTGACAAATTTCAATGAATTGATTCTTATTATTTTCTAATAGGGAATAATTTGCAGCGGTTATTTATAAAAGGGAAATTTGGCTGCATATTAATAACAACTTGTAACAAATATGTTCAGAAAATTAACAAATTTGTCAGGAGTTATAAATATGTGCTTATCATGTGCTACTTTAAGAAAAAATACTTAGGCGCTAGGGACATAATCATAATAATGTTTCACTTTTTTATTTCATCTCTTTTTTTCACAAACCAATTTTGACTAATGTTGCATACAATTATTGTGGTATTACTTATCTTAACATACAAACCCAAGTGTTTAAAAATTGGCCCTGTTATAATGTTAAATATATAATGATAGATGTTATTTAACATATCTTAATGTTAAATTAGTTTAATTTGCTAAATTAGGATACATTACATTGTGGTGCAATTGTCTGCAAACAATTATTAATGTTAGAGTCTGTGGTGTTTCACTTCAGAGGGCTCTTTTATTATTTTTTTTAAAATGTGATCAAATTCGGGAAATTTGTAAAATGAGCGTTCTCATTTTACAAACCCTCATTAGAGAAGACTGAGTGGACAACACAGACTTTATTTCAGACTGTACTGCAGTGAAAAGTTTTAATTGTGAAAAGTAAAAAGTTTTAATTTAAATTAACATTTAACTGAAAGTGGGCATTGATTAATTTCCCCATGTAACTATATTATTTCCCCTTGATTATAAAAAATATATAAGCTGTGAAATCTTGGCTGATGGTAACCTTATTTTCCGTAATATTACAAAATACCAAACCGGTGACTTTAGATAAACATGACATGGGAAAGTTCAACTGAATCAACATGTGGCAGCTAAACCATTCAAGGTGTTTGTCACCAGAGATTCTTATCGACTGTCAAAGAATTTTTAAATATTTAATCAGACATTTTGAACTTATATTGCTTGTCAGAAAGTTGTATTTAATTTTTTTTTTCATTTGCCAGGCACAATATAGAATAGCATTGTTGCATAAAATTGTGAGCAGCAGATTCTCTATTTTCTAATAGCTATTTTGCTGCACGTGTCCCTGGTTAGACTTTTACTCAAACCGTAAGAAATCTAAGGTTTTTTATCCCTTTGATGCATGGTGTCAACTACAGTGGACAGATCTTTAAAATACATTTTTAAACATGGCCGTTGTTACAGCCAATCCAAATGACCTTTCTCCCTTTTTCACATGTCTTCTTTATATTTCTATTCTGTGTTTACTTATAAACTGTCCATTGCATTACGTTAGAAGCCTCAGACTTGTCACTTTTAAACTTCATCATTTAAAAAAAAAAGTTCACAAAAAAGTTACCATACTTGTGGTTTATGTGAATCTTGACTTGGGCTGATTTCTGACTCCAATTCCAGGGAAATCACAGATAAATCATTAGCTTTTGTGGGAGAAAACAGATGGCTAATGAAGCAAGGATAAAAACAATATATATTATCTGATTAAAAAGCCTAGATGCATTATTGTTTTATTATTATTTTATATATTTTATTGTCTGCCTGCTACTAATGAGTAAAAATAAATTCTAGATTTTTTTTAACTCATTGTAGGCTACATCAATATCACTTTATGGGCTGTCACGCATCGGGACATTGTCGCAAGAGATATATCCTATCCTCCGTGACTTCAAGGTTTTAAGTCAATTGTCCAGTTGCATTAGCTATAGTGAAGATTGATTTTAACCAAATAGATCCTAGAGGGGAGCACTCTGGTGAAGCAAGTGATAAGCTGTAGGCTAGTCCAAGCCATTGCATGTTTACTCTTCTACTACCATGTGAGAAATGGGAACAGTATTCAGCACGTTTTCCTTTTCAACTAATGTTACATTACTCAAATCGAGTGTAGCTGCATTTTTCATTTAGACTACAAAGACTGCAATTTCCACAATTATTTTTTCATTTAGCTTGAACTTATATAGGCTACTAATAACTTATGTATAATTATAGAGCTGAGTTTGTTTAAATATACTTTCTCCGTTTTAATGTATAAAATATTTGTTTCAGAATTTCAGATATAGCAACACGGTAAATATCTTTGTGTGATGTCATATTCCTGCGACGATTTGTGGTCTGTGTACATTTAGGATTCTAAGAGGTTAGCTTTGCATCTATGCACTTAAAACGGGTTAGCATTATGTTTTAAACTCTCTGGCCATTTATCACAGTCCGACGATGTGAGTACGGATTTCCCCCCCCCCAAAAAAAACTAAATCTGTCTCGTAATGCGGGCACGTCGCATATAGGCTCTGACTTTTCCACGAACAGCAGTATTTGCTTGAGAAGAGCTAGTGGCGGCTAACGTAATTTATGCGGAATGCGCATCCATTGCGGATGTGGTGCAGAATATATGCGCATTGCTGCGACACAGGTAATTTTGGCCTTTACTTTTAAGATATTCCCTTACTTAAACAATTCGTTAAATGCGAATCCAACTATATTATCCATGCATTATTTGTTTTTATTTCTCGCCCGCTCCTCTTTTAGCCTCGGACTTTTCCTTGTCATTGCCAAATGTATTGTTAATTGGGAGAGCTCTAAGATGTCTGCATGTAATTAATGATACTTAAACATAACAGAATATCAGAAGAACATTAGACAAAAGCCACAGGTTTTTGTTTTAGAGATACAAGGTACAGACAACAAAATATCGCAATAATTGCGCAGAATCAGTGTAAATACACATACTTTTTTTAAAATAAAATGACACGTTAACCTATTGCCGTTCCGTAGCTATTATCTATTTTATGTAGTTGTGTATTGCTGAGCCCATTATTAAGGCTGTCCTTGTTTGACATTACAATGAAGCAATGAATGCCCTGCCATGGAACAGCATGGTGGCTTTTTACCCTCCTTGTGAATGGCACACTGTCCACCAGTCACATTGGTGTGTCTGTAAACCACAACATATCCATGACTGAATACTACGAGGAGGGAGGGTTGCTGTATGAGCACTCACCTCCCATGCACATCAAAGTGGAGTCTCCAGAGGGTCCCTTTGGAGGTGGGGTCTCAGAGGATGGTTTCCCCAGGGAAGATGACGACTCAGAGGCCAGTTGTGACCACCAGAATGGTGGGTTGCCTAGCAGTCTGCCCTTTAACGTTGTGGTTGTGCATCCCAACATAGTCGCACCTGGAATGTCTTCAGATGAACTCATCCCAATTGAACAAAGTAAGTCTTAGATGATAGGAAGTGTTTAAAAATATGTGATTTTACTTTCCTGAAATATTACTTCTAACATTGCAGTAATATTTAAAGGTGCACTCTGTAATTCCCCCCCCCCCCCCCCCCTCATCAAAGTTTTACAAATGTAGAAATTAATAATACATTTAATAAATGTTCAAAATAATGTACACTCACATAAGATGATAAGATCGCTATAATGCAGCTCTGCAGAAAACAGTGATGTCTTCGTCCAGCTCAGTTCAGCTCTCATCCGATAGTGTCAGTTTAGATGAATAATATTGTTGAATATTAAGTGTCCCCAATTAAGCAAGCAAGAGGCGACAGTGGCAAGGAACCCAAACTGCATCCGGTGACAAAATGGAGAGAAAAAACCTTTGGAGAAACCAGGCTCAGCCGGGGGGGCCAGTTCTCCTCTGGCCAACAAACAAACATGCTGTGGTTTAATTCCAGGCTGCATTACAAGTCAGAAAACAGATTGTGAATTGGAATCATTCAAAATATTTCGTCCAGTTCCTTCTGCTTGAAGATCGGATTCATCACGCCAGTATGGAGACGAAGCTGACCATCAGGGTCTGTGCAAAGGACTTGTCTGGTTCTCGTGGTCTTTGCTGAGGATATCTGTTGATGGCTGTAGTGTCGACAAGGTCTTCACAGGGGATTGTCTAGTTGATATGGTCTCTGCTGACATTCAGGGCTGTGTTGTGGTCGCGTCTAAGTTCAGATGGACCATCTGATCTGGCTGACTATGGTAACCTCAGGATAAGGATGAGACAGACAGATTAATATTAGCGTAGATGCCATTCTTCTTATGATGTAACACAAACATTGGATGTGGGAAGTTTTCCCAGTTCCAGTTGACCTACTTTATGCAGCCTATGAATCTTTTAACAGATTTGAATTTATAGAAATGTGATAGTGTGTTATGTGTATTCTAGGTAAAATAGATGCGTTTTAATCTACATTTGGATTTAACACAGAGTGTGTCTGCCTCCCGAACAACACTAGGAAGACTGTTCCAGAGTTTGGGTGCTAAATAGGAAAAGGATCAACCGCCTACAGGTGATTTTGATATTCTGGATATTATCAACTGGCCAGAATTTTGAGACCGCAATAGACGTGCAGGACTATAATGTGTTAAGAGTTCGCTCAAGTACTGGGGAGCTCAACCATCCAGTGCTTTATAAGTAATCAACAAGATTTTTAAAATGTATACGATGTTTAATTGGAACCCAATGCAGTGTTGACAGAATCGGGCTATTATGCTCATACTTCCTGGCTCTAGTAAGAACTCTAGCTGCTGCATTTTGGACCAGCTGGAGTTTGTTTATTAAGCGTGCAGGGCAACCAACCAGTAGAGCATTACAATAATCTAGCCTTGAGGTCATGAACACATGAAATAACTTTTCTATTAACTCGTTCAAAATACAGTGCAATTCATACAGACAGTGGCTTAAATAAATTTCGATTAAAAAAAATTAAATTTTGTGTCAAAAATATTTGCGTGATGCTGCATTAATGCTGTTATGTGTCAGTATAAGTCCAAAAATACTGTCAGCGCAACAAAAGCAAAGATTTACTGAGTGCACCTTTAAATAGAAATGCAGAAGCCTAATTTTTTGTTTAAATAAAACTTGCCTTTGAATTAAAGACAGGGGTGTGTCTTCAGCATTAGCCGCAGGAGGCGTAGGAAAAAGGAAGAGTCGTTTTAGTGGGGCAGAGTTGGAGGTGTTGGTATCAGAGGTGACCCGCTGTGAGGGGGAGCTGTTTGGTCCAGCAGGGAGGCTCCGGCGCCGAGAAAGAGAGCGAATTTGGGCCGGGATACTTGAGCGTGTCAATGCTGTGTCTAGAGTACCACGCACTCTAAGAGAAGTGAAGAAACGCTGGGATGACCTGAAGAGACGTAACGGTGGTAGACTGGCTGACGCAAGGCACCGCACCTGCTACCTGCCATCCAGCAGAGGGGCCGCAATTATGGGAAGGCCGACTCAAGTCAGTCCCAGGCTCCAGCAGTCTCGTCAAAAGCAGAGCACTAGAGTAAAAGCCAGTTTCAGTTGCTTGTCAGACACTGATCCAGGTAACATCTTCAGGTTTTGAGTGACCTCACAAATTTGATTCTGTAATAAAGTATCTCAAGCATGGGAATATTAAATGTTTACATATCTTTTCACTGTTTCAGTTGCAGTTGGAGATGGTTCTGAAAGAGATGGTTTCGAAAAGGAAGAAGAAGCTGGTGAGCAAGACTGTGATGATGGAGATGATTGTGATGGTGTGGAGAGCAGCATGGAGGATAAACTGGGCCTAGGCCTGGGTCTGGGAATAGTACCACCTCCGACATCAGAACGCTGGCTACCTCCTTCACCCCTTTACAGCGCGCCTTTCCTCAACGGGACCCCTCATACAAGCCCAGAACCATCCTTAGGGACCCACCAGGGCCCACTGGAGCCCCCTCCACCACGCACTTCCTGGCTGGAAGATGAACTTCGTGGACTGGGAGAAGCAGCCATGCAGCTTGGAGATCGCATGGAGCAGAACCTGCGCGAGTTTGCAGAAGGCTTTAGAAGCGATATGCGGACCCTTGTGGCTTCACAAGAGGCCCTTACAAGCAGCTTGCAGCAGAATAATGTACTTTTGCAACGCCTGTTGGGTCTACTTGAGATGCAGCATCAGCCGCCTCAGCAGCAAATTCCACAACAGCAACAACAGTTACAGCAACCTGCACAACAGCAACAGGAACCTCCACAACAGCAGCCTTATCAGCAACTGTTATTGCCACAGGAACATCCACAGCTAGAGCAGCAAATCCCAGCAACTCTTCCACCTCTACCGCCACCTCCAGATATTTTAGATGGTACTCTGCACACTGAACCACCGACTGACATAAATGGAGTATCGCAACGGCCACGCCGTGGCAGAACAGTAGACCTCAGACGAAGACGCAGACGTTGATGTTGCCGTGAGATGTGGAAAAATAAACTGTATTCGGTTACAGTAAATGTATTTATTCAAAGCAATGTTTTATAGGGTTACCTAGTTGCAGATTGTGCCATGTCATTGCAGCCACATTATATGTTATGCCTGTTGCAGATATATAATAAAATGTATTGTGTACACCAAAAAGCTCAAAGCTATAATCAAAATTGACTTATGAACTCTTGTTGCTGATCATAAATATACTGACATTTTATGGATCTGCTTGCTCAAGGTCATAATATATAAGTTTAGAAAAATATTCTCTAGTATTCATGCTGTGGCATGATAAAATTCATTAATTTTCATTCTTTGATTGAGGCACCGCAGATCAGTGTAAAATGACGTTTTACTTTTGCTACTATCACTGGTTTAGAAGATACATCCAAATGCTGTTTTAAAGGATATTGTATTGCATAGAGGTTCTCCAGTTCCATGGAAATAAATGCAGTTATCAGAATTACTGACTAACATAGAGATCTAAGATTGCCCAGTCATTCTGCATGCAATGCAAGATAGCTAAGCTCAAATATACCTTTTTGCAAACTTTTCACCATGTTAACAAAAATTATGTATATTTGGAAAAAAATGTCTGCCTATGAACAAATTTTAATAAAAGCAATCAATACATTTATCCCATTTTTTATATTATCAAAGTCAATTATAACTATTAAGCAGCACAACTGTTTCAATATTAATAGTGATATTTATCATGAAAATTCAGCTTTGTCATCACAGAAATAAATCTTTTTTTTTTTTTTTATGTGTTGCTATATTTGTGATTTAAAAAAATGGCCCCAGGTGGATGTTTCTGCCTTTTTCTGCCAGTTCACAACCAGTTTACTGAAGAGTTAAAAATGCATATATTCATTACTAAATCTACACAAAAAGGACGTGAATACATTCGGTACACACATGGCTGACCACGGTTATCAATAAATCTACTAAATTAATAAAATATGTAAATCTAAGATGCAAGTAAGTCGCAGATTCGCGCCCATATTCATTTATCGAAAGGTGTCGCTTTAAATGTAGTCGCAGAGGGCGCATGTGACGTAACCACAGACTTCCAATCAATCGCTGGCTTCCATGTTTTTAGGGGTGGAGAAAAGAGAAAGAAATATGTGAAAATGGCTACTGTACAGTCTGAATCCGAACAACCATTAGATAATAAACTCATTAACGGTACACTCGCTGAAAATAAACCTGAACTACAACCTGCATCTGCTACAGTCGCTGATTGTGACGCGGAGGTTTGTGGACAAGGCAGCGGCGTAAAAGGAGCGACAGAGCCTAGTGTTCCGTCTTCGCCAGCTAGTGAAAATCCATCTCCACATGGCGCTGCTCTTTCACCACGCAACAAAGATGAATCAGGAATGTCATGTAATAGGAAATCTACGGCGGACGAGCAAAAGACGGATGTGCTTTTCGAAAATAACGGTGATCTTGTTTCAGCTGAGCCCGCAACGGACTGCGGGGAGACCTCGGATCGTTTGCACAATGAAAACATCGGTAAGTACAACTTTGCACCAAGGGCAGACAGTAAATGGAGCGCAGCGCTCTTTTGAAGAGCGCATAGACTTCACACACACACACATATATATATATATATATATATATATATATATATATATATATATATTCAGCCGTGGGGAGATAATGCAAAAACTCGTGGAGCGTTTTTTTGGGGTGGCAGCAATTAATTACTCTGTAATTGGCTTGTTCTAACCCAATCAGAAACAAAACTGCTTGTTTAACCCTTTCATGCTTGTAAATTAAGATCCGTTTTAGACCTTTTAATTAGATGGAATTTCATACAACACCTCAAAAGGTCATTTAAATACATTTTCCGCGTATCAGGTTTAATTAAAAAGAATGATTCAACTGTCCTTGTGAAACAAGCCATTTTCAGAGCCTTTCTGACATGATAACAAAAGAGTATATTTTTTATTGTAAGTAACGTTAGAAATTTTGAATAGACATACATATCCAAAACGTTTGTTACACACCTGCCACTGTCAGCCATTATATAATTTTGCATAAGTTGCAATAAACACAACATATATTGTATCTGTTGGCTATAATCAACAACCTTAAATCAATTCAATGCTTCATAACATTGTAGTTCTTTATCACATTAAAGCCATGAAGTACACAGCGCTGTACCTGATTTATGTCTAATTTTGAAATACCTTTTTTGCTCCAAATCAAAGTTTGTAATGTTTGATTCATCTTGTAGCTGGTTGGCTTGGTTCATGGCTTATACAGAATGAAAATGACCATTTTCACATTTACTCATGGAGTCACTTGAGATGGAAATGAACCATATTGGTTAATTACAAAATAGTGGATTCCTCAGTAAATATACATCCATGACATGTAATATGTTGGCTTTTTTTCTTAATTTATGTAGCCTATTTCTTTTACCAGAAAACAAAAATGAAACTGAAAAATGTTATCAGGGGACCAATAGTTGAGTTGAGACGGAATGACCTAGCAGTTTTCAGTTATTTAATGCCAAAGTTTAGTGTTATGGATGTGCATTAAAAAATTAAAATTCAAAAATGTGAAAAACATTGATTTACAATGTTAATAAATGTGCAACATACATCACAGCCTGAGAAAAGGGTCTTGAATCTGATGTTCAGTTACACAGGTGCTTGGTTTCTCTAGTAGTGCTTCTGTAGGTTTCAAGGTTGTTGTTTTTTTGCATTTTGTTTATCAAAGTAAAATTGTAGTATCATCTTATTTTATCTATAGCTGCTCTATAAAACACCTCACTAATGTCATATGATGTCAATCAGGCATGTGCCAGCTATATAGTGAAGGTGGGTTTTAGTTGAATCATGTTATCAGCACAAGGGTATTATTCATGAATGTCAAGTCAGGGCTAGTCACTTGTTTTACATTTTATACATTTATATAGTATATTAAAGGAGAACTCCGGCGCAAAATGAACCTTTGGTCTAATAAAACATTGGTACCTAGTCAACCGTTCTCTGAGATTTGTTTTCATGATAATCGAATGTAAAGAGTTTTATCTCTAAAAACTGTTTAGTGTATAACGCTAGTAATGGGGGCATTTAATAAGTAAAAAGAGATCGGTAGTTAATACAACTAACAAGGCTCAAAATAGCCCCACACGAACACCGTAACAGAATGAGGGTCCCTACATGCAAAACGAAGCATTGAGAACTTTGTAAGTGTACAGACCGTTTAATAAGAAGATATTTTATGAAGACAGTCCACTTCGTGTATACAGACAGGAGCCATCTTTGGAAAACAGTCTCGACTAATCAAACCACGAACGACGTGCTAAGTGAGCTGAACTGTATGAAGTTCAGTGAACTTCTGAACTGTATGAATGGCGTTCGTGGTTTGATTAGTCGAGACTGTTTTCCAAAGATGGCTCCTGTCTGTATACACGAAGTGGACTGTCTTTATCTTTATCTTCTTATTAAAGGACAACTCCGGCGCAAAATGAACCTCGGGTGTAATAACACATTGGTACAGACTAAATCGTTCCCTGAGATTTGTTTTCATGATAATCGAATATAAAGAGTTTTATCTCTAAAAACAGTTTAGCTTATAACGCTAGTATATTGGGCATCGAGTAAGCAAAAAGAGATCGCTAGTTAATACCATTAACAAGGCTCAAATTAGCCCCACACTAACACGGCAGCATAATGAGTGTCCTTACATGCAAACCGAAGCATTGAGAACTTTGTAAGTGTACAGACAGTTTAATAAGAAGATACTTTACACAGACAGTACAGTTAGCGCATACAGACAGCAGCCATCTTGGAAAACAGTCTCGATCAATAGAACCACGAAGGTGAGCGAACAGTACGTGTAGATATTGAAGATAAGATAAATTATATTTATTTTTTTATTTTCTCTGTTGCGTTCAGTGCTTCTCTTATGCGCTCAGTGCTTTCTTCCGGAAACAACGGACCATATGAGATTCCAAGTCACAGTTCAGCTCACGTATCACCGTGTTCGTGGTTTGACTAATCGAGACTGTTTTCCAAGATGGGTCCTGTCTGTATGCGCTAACTGTACTGTCTGTGTAAAGTATCTTCTTATTAAACTGTCTATACACTTACAAAGTTCTCAATGCTTCGGTTTGCATGTAAGGACACTCATTATGCTGCCGTGTTAGTGTGGGGCTAATTTGAGCCTTGTTAATGGTATTAACTAGCGATCTCTTTTTGCTTACTCGATGCCCAATATACTAGCGTTATAAGCTAAACTGTTTTTAGAGATAAAACTCTTTACATTCGATTATCATGAAAACAAATCTCAGGGAACGATTTAGTCTGTACCAATGTGTTATTACACCCGAGGTTCATTTTGCACCGGAGTTGTCCTTTAAACGGTCTGTACACTTACAAAGTTCTCAATGCTTCGTTTTGCATGTAGGGACCCTCATTATGTTACTGTGTTCGTGTGGGGCTATTTTGAGCCTTGTTAGTGGTATAAACTAGCGATTTTTTTTTTTTTTTACTTATTATATGCCCCCATTACTAGCGTTATACGCTAAACAGTTTTTAGAGATAAAACTCTTTACATTCGATTATCATGAAAACAAATCTCAGAGAACGGTTGACTAGGTACCAATGTTTTATTAGACCAAAGGTTCATTTTGCGCCGGAGTTCTCCTTAATTACAATATTTGTTGGTCAAAACAATGGTTTCCCTTTTACATTTTTGCTGTTTAATTAATTTTTATGTTTTGTAATTATTGCTTGCTGAAAAGCCTATAATAGACTGTTGTCACAAAAAACTCAGTGTGTATTTAGTTACCTTAAATGTAACTTTTTTTTTTTCTTGGACAATTTTTTTTCTTGGTGGTAGTATTTAATAGCTTTTTTAACTTTTTAGATTATCTACTCCTTTTTAAAACATTGAATCAATCTAAATAGGTTATTGCAATTATTAATCTGAATGACTGCTACATGTTGTGGTTTTACATTGACTTACAAATGACTTCTAATGTTTTCGTTCCTGTCATTCCGCAGGGCAAGAAAACAACAAAGATGAAAAGGCAGACAAAACTATAGAAAATGTCAGCAAAGATTTAAAGCTTGCTAGAGAGGAGGAACACCCAGCAAAACAAGATGAAGATTCGACAAATATAAGTGAAGAATCAAAGTCTCATGGAGAGGTAACACAAAGCACAGAAGTGGAGATGGAGGACAAAGGAGATCCTAAAAGCATGGAGAAGGTTAAGGACAACACAGAAGAGAAGGAAGCACAAAGCACAGAAGTAGAGACAGAAGACAAAGGAGATCCCAAAAGCACGGAGAAGGATAAGGACAACGCAGAAGAGAAGGAAGATGAATCTAAGAGTGACGGGACAGGTATAGTTGTAAAGCGAAGGAAAAGCCGGCTGGAATGCAATGAGTGTGGTAAAAAATTTACACGCCGCGAAACATACAACCTCCATCGACACTTTCACATGCATCAGGATGAGCAGGCTTCCCTTGTTTGTAAAGAATGCGGCATCACTTTTCAGCATCGAAGTGACCTCATCAAACACCGCAGTATTCATAAAGAAAATAGCCA